CCCCCAGCCGGCCAGCTCCACCAAGGAGGACAAGATGCCGCCCTACGATGAGCAGACGCAGGCCTTCATCGATGGTAATTGCTCACTGGGCCTGGCGGGAGGGAACCCTGCCCATACCTGCCCCTGTAGGCTCCACCTGCTCCCCAGTAAGCCAGAGGGGCTGGGCGTCCTGGGGTGGGTGTCTGGGGCCAGTACCAGCCCCACCAGCCCCACGGGCCCTTCTGGCTCCTCACTGGCTGCTGCTTGTTTATGCCACCCTCATGGGCAGGGAGCAAGTGGCGCCACAGGGACCCTGGCCCTGATCCCTTAGGAGCTGAGATCCTGGGCGATGGGGTGGGTGGGGTCTGCGGCTGGTGAGACCCACAGGGCCTTCCGTGGTGCAGTTCTGCCCAGAGCAGTCCTGCGGGGAAGGGAGGCAGGCGAGTCGGGGCCCTCCTTTCCCGCTTCTTGAATATGGATAGGGGTGCCTCTGACTTTGTCACCCTCTTTGCCCCCCACCAGCCGCCCAGGAGGCCCGCAACAAGTTTGAGGAGGCCGAACGGTCCTTGAAGGACATGGAGGAGTCCATCAGGTATGGCCACCGCAGGGCAGAGCCTCCACCTGCCCCACAGCTGAGCTCCCGCAGGTGGTGGTAATAGGGAGTTGTCGAGGCAACCGCTGCTACCAAGGCTCAGCAGTGGCTCCTCAGGGGAGGGTCCCCAAGCGGCAGGAACGGGAGCCCATCCCCCAGGTGGCCCTCCATTAATCACTTCCAGCTTTGTCCTAAGTCAGTCTGCCAACTGGGCTGCCCCTTCACCGCCTGGCCTTCCCTTGCAGGAACCTGGAGCAGGAGATTTCCTTTGATTTCGGCCCCAACGGGGAGTTTGCTTACCTGTACAGCCAGTGCTACGAGCTCACCACCAATGAGTGTGTTCCCCTGCTCCCCCTGCCCCAGGGCGGGTGGGCAGGCCAGTGAACTTGGAGGGTCTGAGCCAGAGCAAGGTCATGGGAGTGAGGGCGGCGGCCTTAAGGGCGATCTGTGCAGGTTTGAGGGCCTGGTGTACACCCCGCACCGCCCCCAACACCGCGTCCGTGTGTGGGGATGTCAGGGAGGTGGGGGTCCTGTGTCTTTCCCACCCACTAGCGCTGTCCTATGACAGGTACATCTACCGGCTCTGTCCCTTCAAGCTTGTCTCACAGAAACCCAAGCTCGGCGGCTCCCCCACCAGCCTCGGGTGAGTGGGCCTAGGCTGAGCCCCCTTCTCCTTGGTACCCCCAAGCCCCCACTAGCGCCCCCCGCCCCAGCACGCCTCTCTCCCACAGCACCTGGGGCTCGTGGGCAGGCCCTGAACATGACAAGTTCAGCGCCATGAAGTACGAACAGGGCACTGGCTGTTGGCAGGGTCCCAACCGCTCCACCACGGTCAGTGGGTCGGGGACAGGGTGGGAGGCTGGGTGGGGGGGCCCACACCTGACTGAGCCCACCTGAGCCCCCACCTGCCCGCCCACCCTCCCCAGGTGCGCCTGTTGTGTGGGAAGGAGACTGTGGTGACCAGCACCACGGAGCCCAGTCGTTGCGAGTACCTCATGGAGCTGATGACACCTGCTGCCTGCCCAGAGCCACCCCCCGAACCACCTGCAGACAATGACCACGATGAGCTCTAGCCCTGCGAGCTCCAGCCCGACCCAGCTGAGGTGGGCAGGGAAGCGGGTCTCTGCTGCCTGGACTTGGGTGTGCAGTAGCGTCTAGGTAAAACAGACCTAGGTTGGTGCCACCTCTTCCTCACCTGTGTCCCTTCATCTTTCTCGTTGGGCCTTTCACTGACCCCAGAACCTCAAGACACAGAACCAGCTCCCAGTGGTGCTGCCTGCCCGCCCCGCCGTCTGGATGAAGGCCTGCCCCTCCAAGTCTCCTTGTCCCGCCCCACACGCAGGAACCATGAGGGGCTCCTTGCCCTGCTCGCAGGCGTCAGGTGGGGGCAGAGCCATTTCCAAAGCCACCTCAGTGGCCCCCGAAGATAGACTAAAGGAGTGCACCGTCCCCAGGCCCCCGGCCTAGTGACCCACTGCCTGCCCCACCCTGCCCCCTGCCCAGGGCATCTGCCTCCCCTGCTGGTGGGGATGGTGAATCAACTGTGACCTTGAAACAATAAAAGATACCCCCAAACCATTTGTGTCTGCCTTGCTTTGCTTGCGCTAAGGGTGGGCATAGGGCAGAACGCAGGGGCAACAGCTGTCTACACATCCTGGGCGACAGCAAAGTCCAGACTAAGAAACGGCCTCCCACCCATCCCAGAGTCCCAGCGGTGTCGTGGGTAGGCCATGCGACTGGCGGTGAGACTCAGGCCCAGAGGACAGCAGCCTGAGCAAGGCCGCACAGCCAGGTGCACGCACTCCAGCGCTCCCTGCCCGCCGGTGCAGACACCCAACTGCGGCTGTAAGATTCTGAACTTTTATTTTCTGGCATGAAAAGTACAAATAATTAAACAATTCCATGTAAAAGTCTGTTACCGCGGCCAGGCCTGTAATCCGGTAATAAATAGTCTAAACGCAACGCAAAGTGTTCTTGTTGGGTTTTGGGGTTTTTTTGTCCTTTTTTTTCTTTTTCCTTTTTTTTTTTTTTTTTTTGCAGTTCTTTATCATCTCCAACATATGGACTCTGTCGTGATGTGAAACCTTCCGAATAAATAACAGGATGATGAAGGGAGGGCTTGAGGGGCTGAGCCTCCTCCCCTTGGGCCCTGCCCCTGCCTCCCAGGGACACGGAAGACCCCAGGCCCCCACCCCTGGGCTGGCCTCCTGGTGGGGGCCTGGCTGGCTGGGCTGAGTTCTGTGTTTTAGAAAAAGAAGTGCCCTCCCACTCTTGGGGGAAGCAGGGGCCTAGGCCTCAGTGGGGGGGTTTGGGGAGGTGCCCTCTCCAGAACCCAGCCCCCCCAGGGTGGGGGACAAACCCAGCCCTTATTGCTCACAGATGCCCCCGGCACGCTGCCCACGTGTCCCCGCGTGCAAGGAGGGCAGAGGGGAGAAGCCCCAAGAAACAGAGGGAGAGGGAGGGACCCACTGGGGGTCCTGCCCTGCTGGAGGGGAGTGGGGAGATCAGGAGGACTTAAAAACCACAAGAATAAATAGGTTCATGTATCAAGAACAAGCTAGGGTTTTCACCAGCTAAATAGGACTGAAAAAATTCTCAAGACAAGCAAAAATAATCCCATTGAGACCGGGCGTCGCTGGCCACATGGAGGACTGCCCCGAAGAGCACACATGCCCCCCTGGTGCCGCTCGGCTACCGTTACTGTTATTAATAATTATTACTTTAATGATTCCACTTCCCCTTTTATAAATAAATTAGGCATAACCACGTCTCAGCAAAACTTAAAGAAACAAAGAGAACATCGTGGTCCCTTTAAACTTGCAAACTGGATGAAGGAACAGAAATATACACAAATGTCCTTACAGGGCAACAAGAATAAATAGTTAACATAGCAATAAGTTAAAACTACAAGAAGCTAAATTCGGCAAAAAAGTACAAGAAAGTTAACTGGTGCCAGTTTATGTCTGGTTTTTTTTTTTTCCTGTTTTTTTTTAAATCTCTTCTGTTTTTTTCTTCCTTTTTTTTTTGTCGCTTTTTTTTTCCTCTTCTGTTTGTGTTTTTTTGTTGCTTTTTTGATTTTTTTTTTCCTTTTGTTCCTTGCAGCAGAAGCTCCACAGACGTTTAATAACAAACACCGGGGAGGGGTGGGGGAGAGAGAGCTGGGCAGTCAGATGGGGCCATGGCCAGACACCAAAGCAGGGACACCGGAGGAAGGTCAACTGAATTTAAAATCGGGGTTTGTAATTTTCAGTTCTTACTGGGCCCACTGTGGCGGGGGGTGGGGGGCTGCAAGGGCTCTGGCCTTTGGCTTCTGTTGGAATTTTTTGTTAACAAAGAATGAAAACTAGGGGGCCGGAAAGTCCAGACAGAAGCCAGGGCTAGGGCTCAGAATGGGGGCTGCGTCCACTGCCCACACTCATCTGGAAAGACGGAAAAACCCAACAAACTGAAAGAGGGTGACGAGTAGATGGGAAGGAAATACGGGGCTAGGCCCTGGGCCTCTCCACCCTGGGCCTGGTGAGGAGGCCCTGGGTTGGGGGAGGCTCAGGGCCCGGCCTCCCCCTCGGCCTCATGGGCCAGGGCCTGGGCCCAGGGTGGGCTCAGCCCCAGGGACAGGGGGTCCTTTGGCCTCAAGTGTTGGGGGGTGCTGCCTCCAGCCCACCGTGATGCCAAAAGTGAACGAGGTATCGTGTGTCTGGATGCATGGACGCTGTGTGTTCACGCCTGTGTTCGTGGGTGGCATGGACCACTGATGAGCCAGAAGAGAGCTCTGCAGAGAACCCAGGGCAGGGTCGGTGGGGCTGCGTACCAGGAGGGGGGCCGGGCTGGCCTGGCTAGAGGAGTCGGACTGGGCCCTCTTGCCTGGGCCTGAGGGATGCTATGGGCATGTCTGTGTGTTCCTGGGTGTTGTGTCTCTGTTTCTTTGTGAATGAGTGTCTAGATTTGTGTCTCCACTTTTGTGTATTCATGTGTATGCATGGAAATATTTGCATGTCTCCGTGTGCCAGGGTCCACATCCACCTGTGGCTACATTTGTCCACTTCCATGTTCAACTGCTGCCATGTTTACCCGGCCCCATACCAGCGTTCTGTTTTATCCATGTGTTTGTCTACTGCGTGTCTGAGTTTGGCAGAGTTCCTAAATGTGTCCGGGTCACGTCTCTGGGTCTGTTGGTGCTACTGTGTGTTCCTGGGGGTGTGTTTCTCTGTGTGGCCCTGTGGCCCGCCAGCCCCTAAGCCCTGCTCCCTGTCTTTGCCCCAGTTGGTAAACATAGCCTGTCAAAATATTTCTTTTTTTTGTCTTTTTTTTGTTTTTTTTTTCAAGTTCAAGAATCCCCAGTAAAAATTCTCCACGAGGTCTTTTTCCCTTTTTACAAAAATAGAGTTTTTCTTCCCCTCCCCCCCCCCTTTTTTTTCATTTTGTTTCTGTTTCCAGCCCCTCATCCTGCTCCTCACAATCCACCAAGGGGCTCTGGGCCAGGGATGCCCACACCCCTCTCATGTTTTGCTTTGTTGGGGATTTTTAAACCTGTGTCCTCCCCCACTTAGGCTCACCTCAGCACTGGGGAAACCTGGAGGAAACCCCCGGCACCCCCCAAAGCCATCCCACGGAGGGTGGTTGAGGGTTGGATAGGGGCACATCTCTACTTTCTTTTTAGCCGAAAAAAGAAACAAAAACCATCGCCATGAACAAAACCAAGACGAGAGAGTGAACAGCCCAGCCTGGGGTAGGGGCAGGAGGACGGGGTGGGGGACCCCCAGGCACCCCCCATCGCCTGCACACCCTCCCAGCCCGAGCGCTCACCCTGTGGCTTCCGCAGGGGTGCGGGGCCTCGTGCCGTTCGTGGTCTGCCTGTGCTGTCTCTCTCGGGCCCCTCCTTTCTCTCTCTCTCTCTCTTTCTCTCTCTCTCTGCTGCCCGGGGAGGGTGGGGAGGGCGGCAGTGGCTCAGGCCTTGTGCTGTTTGCTGGTCTTGAAGGACACCTGCAGCACGCGCTCGCCCAGGCGGTAGCCGTTGAGGCTGGCGATGGCCATGGCCGCCTCGTCGTAGTTGGTCATGGTGACAAAGCCGAAGCCCTTACACTTGTTGGTGGTGAAGTCGCGGATGACCTTGACGTTGGTGACCGCCCCAAATGGCCCGAACAGCTGCCACAGCACACTCTCGTCCGCCTCCGGAGACAGGTTGTACACGAAGATGCACCAGCCAGCACCCGTTGCACCCCCCGACAGGCCCACGCCCGCCAGGCCGCTCATGCCGTCGATGGCGATGGGCGAGAACCTGGCGATGAGCGACAGGGGACTACTTTGGGGGTCACGCGGGCTCTGCCCTGACCCCCGGCATGCCCCCGACCCTCCTGTGATCCCATGACCTCTGGTACCACCATGGCCTCTGATCATGCCTTCATCTTGTGACTCTTGTCCTGACCCTGCTGTGTCCTCCATCTGGAATCCCACCTTCAACCCCACCGGCTCTGAGACACCAGCCCCCAACCTTCACCATGACCTGTACCCTCTCCTGGCCTCTGACCATCCCTGAACAATAGGCCCTCACCCATGATCCTGCCCTAGTCCCCTAACTGCACCCTGACCGCATGACCTTTGGCCCTATTTGGTCCTTAGCTCTGTTGACCCTGACTACCCCCCCATACCCCGGGCCAACTCCTTCCCTTGGCACATCTTCCCATCCAGCTCCTGCTCTTACCCCCCTTACTCCACCCTGACACCGCCCTCAGTCACGTTGTCCCCTTTGTCCTACTAGCCACCTGGCCATATGCCTGGAGGCCCACGCCAGAAGGGCAGTGCTGGGAGTCCAGATGTGAGTGTAGTCACTTCAGCGCCTCCCTCCTGTTATACAGGGCTAAGCACAAACGAACACCTCCTCTGGCCCATAACGTGGCCTCCTCCCTCTGCCCCTCTCTGGCCTTTTCCTACTTAAATTGTATATTTATGGTCGGCTCCTTCTTCTCCAAAAGGTATTGTTTTTGGTGGTGCCCCAGTCCAGAACAGCTCCCAGTACACAGTAGGCACATGGCTCTGCTCAAATGGGTGGACACTTGGGACTAACTGCTCACTCCCTCCTCTAGGTCTTTGCATAGGCTGTTCCTGCTGCCAGGAACTCCGCCTCCACCTGTTGCCTCAGACAGGTCGGGCCCCCTCTGGGTTCCCACCACCCCTTCTGCCCACTCCTCCGCCCTGATCACTGTTCATCTCTCTGTCTCTCTTCCCACTAGACTGAGATAATTAATAACAGTAACAATAATCATAAGAGCAGCTACCTTTTATTGGGCGCTCACTATGTGCCAAGTACTGTGCTCAATATCATTTCATCTCCATGAGGGACCCAGTCTGGCTGGGCCACGCTGGGTACCCAGCCGCAAGCCAAGCAACCGACCCAGCCTGCGCTCAACAGCTCATGATTCCATACACTCAGGACCTTCACAGGATCAGGGATGCGGACAATGTCGTGAGGGCCTCGAGGTTCATCCCCGATTACAGGGCACAACAGGGCAGTCTGCGGCACTCAGTAAGGACTATCAACAGTGGTAGGTGGAACTCAGGCTTAACATGGGAACCAGGGGGCATGGCTGTGACCCATGCAATACTGCCCACCTCTGACCAGACTGGAGAGGGTCATGGACAGGGCCCCAGGCTCAAACTCCACAGTAGCTCTTTGCAGGCATTTACTAGTCTCCACGGCGCCCAGATCCCTTAATGGACGTGCTACTGCCTGACAGGGGCAGACATGGCTAAGCTGGTCATCCTGGGGGTAAGGGGGAGGAGGTATCTATAAGGGCGAGGGTCTGAGGAGAGACGGCGAGGGTCTGGGGGCAGTGGGGTGGGGGCACTGTTACCTCTTGACTCCGTAGGCCATGTTGAGTAAATTGTCCAGCCTGTGGAGCAGAAAGAGTGGTCACTGGTGGCCTCCAGGCACGTCCCTGCTGTGACGCAGGCCAGCCTGCCTGCCCTCCCTGCCCCCACCCTGCAGGCCAGCAGTGCCAGCCCCACCCCCGCCGCCCGCTGCCCGCCCGGCTGGACACCGCCTGGCACGGACCGTGGTCGCTCCAGCACCGCCTCTCGCCTGCCCTGCCACATCCTCATCCTCCGTCTCCTGGCTGCCTGACTCCGCTTGCCTTCCCCCACCCTGCAGGACTCAGGTCCCCAGAAGGAAAGGTCTGAGTCTCTTCACCGCAGCGGCCGGGCTGGGCAAATGATAACGCCTCTCTGAGTTTCCGGGTCCCCATCCGTCAAATGAGGACAAGACGAATTGCATTCTCATGGTGTTGGTGCAGAATAAACGAGCGTGCCTGGCACACAGTTAGCACTCATGAAATGTGCATGAGGAAGCTGGGGCAGACAACGGGAGTCACGTGCCAGAGAAAGGGGCAGTCAGAGCTGGACCTGATCAGGTGATTCTAAACTTAATGCTGATAATGCCACTCATAGTGCCCTGCACATACCGAGCACCTGCTGTATACAACTGCCTGGTCTCAGCATGTGACAGTAGGCCATGTCCTCTGCAACCCTGGCATGTGAGCACTGTGCTGGTGTCCCTCTACCCTGCAGGAATGGGGCTCAGGGAGGGCAAGCCTTGGGCCTCCACCTGGGGGTCTGGGCTGTCCAGGGCTTGGGGTGGCAGGGGGCTCACCGGAAGCGTTGTGTCTGATGGTGCAGAGGGCCTGCGTAGCGCCGGGCCGATGACTGGTAAAGGTGAGTAAGCAGGGCCTGCCCTGTCTTCTGACTTGGGTTGTTGGCAAACTTGACCGTGATGGGCTCGGCTGCACCCAGCGGCTTCTGCCCATTCAGTCCTTTGATGGCCTCCTCGGCCTCAATCCTCTTGTCAAAGCGGATGAACCCCACACCCCGAGACACGCCTGCCGGAGGGGAGGGTGTCATGAGGATCCTGCCCCCTGCCATTCCCCATTTCTCCATTTTGGACCCACTGTAGTGCGTCTACCCAGCGCCCCCACCAGGTGCACGCCCTCCTCACCCCCCTGGTCTGACCTGTGACCTGGTCCACCAGGATTCGGGAAGTGATGATGCGACCATATTGCGAGAAGAGCTGTTCCATTTCCTTCTGGCTCATGGTCTTGGGGAGCCCGCTGACATACAGGTTGGCATCCCGGATGGATGCAGAGCTGGGTCTGGCATAGGACACCTGGGGGACGGTCAGGTGGACATGTGTAAGGGGAAGACCCATTTTGCAGATGAGGAGTGAGAGGCCACATACGAACCACCACTGAGTTGCAGAAATGCTTCACTGGTTCCCTCAACAAACATCTCGGGTGGCGACCATGGTTGTGGCCAGCTGGGGCTGGGGGAGAGGACATGACTGTGGCTCCGCCTGCATAGGGTGATGGGGGACCTGTCGCTTGAGGTCAAAGGAGCAACACCCCTGGGTCACATGCCTCCCTGAAGACCTCAGGGACTCTTGGGTCCCTAGCTCATGCTCTCACGCTAGACATCCCATTAGCATTAATGCTTCCCATGCCACTGGCAGGTGAGCCTGGGACACTGGCTCTTCTTTTCCCAACTACACCAGGTCCCTGAGAGTCATTCAAATCTTTAGCCACCAGCTCAACACTGATGGCTCCCAAATGTCCTCCCCCAGCACGAACCTGGTCCCTGAGCTCTCCGTCTGTGTGACACCTGTCTCCAAGCATCCCAGAGGGGTCCTGATGGGGGTCACCCTCAGTGCAGAGGCCTCTGGTTTCCAACTTCCTCCACTTGCTCCTACTCAGTAATGGCAGCTCTGTTCTCCTGGGTGCTCCAGCCCCAGCCTCCGTTGTCCTTGATGTTTCTCTTTCACACCGACATCCAAGCCCCCATCAGTCCTGTTGGCTCCGCCTTCCTCATCATCCAAAATCTGCATACTCCCTCCCACTTTCTTCCCCACACTCTGGCCCAGCACCCACCATTGCTAACCCTGACCAGTAGTCTCCTGCCCTGGTCCTCACTCCCAACCTCACCTCTCACGGCTGTTCTCACCACAGCAGCCAGAGGGCGCCTGTGAACACCTGGGCCAGGTCACATCCCTCCTCTGCTCCGAACCACCCATGGTTCCCATCTTCTTCAGAGTTCAAGTCGTTCCCATGGTCCACCAGGCCATATACCACCTGCCCCATCACCCCCGTCCTCATCTCTCTCCACCTACATCCCCCTTGATCGCTCTGGTGCAGTCACACAGGCCTCCTCCTTGTTTCCCAAACACCAGGTCCTGCCTCAGGGCCTTTGTGCTGGTTGTTCCCTCTGCTTGGAATTCTCTTTCTTTTTTCTTCTCTAGGTCTCCAGGGAAATGTCCTCCCTGTCCTCTTCCATCTGAATTGGATCCCCACCCCTACCCCCATGATCCTCTTTCAAAACACTTCTCTTAGAATCAGGCACGTTTTAGCACGATCATTTGATTCATGTCATTAATTATGGTCCAGCCCAACAATGAAACTCTCTGCAGCTGTTTAAAAAATGGTGGACATGGATATTGATTTCCCTGAAACAGTGGTGAGTATTGTAAAGTGGAGGAAAGAAAAAGTCCATTTATAGAGCAGCGAGTATTGTGTGACCCCTTCTCATTGTGTGTGTTTATCAATGTCCTAGAAGCGTGGACTGAAGGGTTCACCTCCTCGACGGGGTGACCGATAGCTGGCAGGGGCAGGGGGTGTCATGAGCTTCTTTCCCCTCTGTTTCCTATTTCTAAATTAACCTCTGGGTAGGTAGGGGTCATTGTCAAGGGTCTGGCTTTTGTTTGGAGCTGTGAGTTGTGAGGACATGTTGCTTCACTAGCAATAACTAACTAAAAAACTAACAAAATGAATAATTTGGGCTGGGGTAGATCAGGGTGAGGGTGCGCAGGCAGTGGGGGTGGGGTAATTCTAATTAATGCCATTGTGCACACCTGGGATTGTCCAGAAAAAAAAAAGAAAAAGAAAAAAGAAAACACATCAGCTGCTATTATTTCTGTAATGATAATTAAAAATCATGGCCATGCACTTCACAATTTTCACTCTCCTCTACAAGGTCTGTGAGCTTTGAGGGGTGAGGACATCTTGGTGGGTTGAAATTGGAGGTGACTTGAAGGGGAGGGGTCTGAGCTCTTGGATGGGTGTCTGGGGCAAGGGTCATCTGAGAAACGGGGTAGGTCTTCAGGGACCTTTCCTGTTCTTCCATGATGTGCACTAACCTGGGTCTCTTTCTCTTCACCAGGATGATGCCTGGCAAACAATGGGTGGCTGGAAATATTTTCGGTAGATCTGCTGGAAAACCTAGTCAGGCCTGACCACACAACACAGCCACCCTGGCAGACACACACACACACACACACACACACACACACACACACCCATAGTGTGCTATCCGACACACAGTCATGGTGACTACCCAAGCAAGAGGGTAACACTAGGCCTTGGCCCATTCTTGTATAATTACAGTAAGAGTTACACATGCCTGTCAAACTGCCACAAGCCCACAACATCACACGTTCCATCCTGAATGGAGCACAGGTAGACATACCCACACAACTTTACTATGACACACAAATACCCTGTCACAGCCAGACACACCCATGAAGCCCCACCAGGTCACAGCTGGAGTCACAGTGTGTGACAAAGTACCTGTCAAATAGATACCACACCCTGTAAACACAGTAACATACCCAAAGTCTGTACTAGCTCAATCTACGTGATAACAGCCACTTACATAGGCACGGTTTCCAACAAACACCGTTTCACAGCCTAGCATCATACCCACACACACAGGGTCTTACAGTTCATCACTAGGGTCCACCCCTATGCTTGGAGGCTTCTGGGTCTAGTTGGCATGAGGAACCCATCAGGTCATGACCTCGCCCCACCCCAGGGAGAGGAAGATTCCTATACCTCTGTTCCATGGTGAACTGAGAGTCAAATCGGTGCCTCTCTAGCCCACCTTCCCTCAGGGTTCAGGAGCAGATTTGTGGGGTGGAGTCCAGACACTCCAGGCAAACCTAGAGAGGGGGGTTTCCATGGCGACCCCACCCCAAGGGAACACGGGCCTCCAGGGTCCCAGCTGCAGCTGCTGAGAGGGGAGGTCGTCGAGGGAGGGGCATTACACAAAGGTTGGGGAGTGGCCCACCCCTAATCCCGCCCTCCCAGGCCCTAATTAGGCTCCAGATGGCAGATGGGGCCCCGCCCTTCCCAATTTCCATAACAAAGGCAGGGAGGGGGCTGCCCACGGGACCCTGGTCACTTTCTCTTCGTGCCAGTTGTGTGTGGAGGCTAATAGCTTCCCCATTGACAAACGAGGAAACTGAAATTCAGAGCGGCAAAGCCATTGGCCCCCAGGCTGGCCAAGCTTCCAGGTTCCCCCGGGAAGACTTGGGGGAGAGATTTAAACCTCTCAGGGGATAAACCACAGGGAAGGATGGATGGCATGAAGGTGGTGATCTTGGTGAGGACAGTCAGAATGGGGTTGGGTGGGGGAGCAGACAGCACAAGGGAACAAGGGCACCAACCTTGATGGTCTTTGTCTGCAGTTTGAGGCCATTGAGGGTGTTGATGGCTTTGTCTGCGTCATTGGGGTCAGAGTAGTTCACAAACCCGTAGCCGAGGCTCTGCCCTGTGGGCAGGACCAGGACAATGACTTACCTCTCTGGAGCAGCCAGTATCTTCCCTGACCCAGATGCAAGAGGCTGACCACCCCCAGGACACCTTAGACCCCAGGCCAGAGTCCCACCTGCCCCCAGCATCCTTAAGACACCTCACCTTGGGCCATACCTTTCTTCCAATCATACCTCAGAGACCTCTAGGGTCCCACCTGGCTCCATTGCACTTGTACTACTGAAGCTGTCACCTGTCCCCCACCTCCCCACTTGCCAGAAATCCCACCTGTGATCTTGTCCCGAACCAACTTGCAGGACTCAATGTCACCAATGCTGCCAAAGAGACTCTTGAACTCATCTTGGGTCATGTTCTGGGGCAGGTAGTTGACGATGAGATTGGTTTTGCTGTCGTCAGTGGCTCCGTTTGTACCAAGGAGTGGCCCATTGGGCAGGGCCGGGCCGGCCGGGCCCCCTGCCACCTGAGACTCCATGGCCCCGAGTATCTGCTGGAGACAACAGGCCACACCCGCTCACGGCCCAGTCCCCAACGGACCAGGGGAGTGAGGAGGGGCTCAGTGGTGATGGATCAGTCATGGCTGACATGGGCTTGAACATGGGAAGAGGACAATGTATTATTCTAATAATCCCTTCCACTCCTTGAGCACTGAGCAAAGTACTTAACATATGACTTTACTGTGAAAAATTCCATGTATAAATGCCACACATGCCCCTTCGTATATGTTTGCCGATTTGTCTAAAACCAACTTGTGCATTTTCAGAGTAATAAAATAAACATCTTTGTCTTCAGAATAAGAAATATAACATTCTTACTAGATTTGAAGCCTTCTCTCATAAGTCCCTTCCTGCCCATGTACTTTCCTCCTCCCACCAAAGGTAATTCCTATCCCAAATGTGTTGACATTTCATGCATAAAGTTCCCACTAGGCATTTACCCTCAGTTTTTCCGCTAAGCTTTTTTTTCCCTTAAGTGTAACATAACACCTGCAAATAATGACAGTTTTATTTATCTCCATTCTATACCTGTTATTTACTTTTCTTGTCTTAGTGCAGGGGCTACAATGTAATAGTGCCTTCCCTATTCCTAATTTAAAGGAAATGCTTTAGACATTTCACAGATAAATATGATCTTTTCTGTAGGTTTTTAAAAAATGGCCTTTATCAGATTAAGAATGTTCAATTTTAGTCCTAGTATCCTAACAAGATATAATTTTTAAAAATAATGAATGTTGAATTTTATTGACTGTTCTTTTCCTATATCTATTTTTTAAGTTGAGATACATGGACATATTAAATTATATTAGTTTTAGGCATACAAGATAATGATTCAATATTTGTATATATTGCAAAATGATCTCCACAGTAAGTCTAGTTAACACCTATCACAATATATGACTATAAACATTTTTTTCCTTGTGATGAGAACTTTTAATATTTACTCTCTTAACAGCTTTCAAATATATTCTACATCTATTTTATATCTAAGGGCCACACAAGAAGAATTTTAAAGCCACATCCGGGTGCAGAAGGAAACAGTGCTGGATTGATTGGTATTGTCTGTCATGAGCAAGGGAAGCATTTCATTAGGTCTTGTCTTAGTAGGTGGTTGGTGAATAGGTTGTCCCCACCTGAAAACTCAAATTGATTAGTAGGGTTTTCCTAGAGGGGGTGAATTAAGAAAGATTTGAAGCCACATCCAGTTTCAGCAGGGAAGACCCCTGTGATTTATTAGCAACGTCTGCTGTGGCCGCAGAATTACAGAGAGTCAGAAGGCACACATAACCTCAGCCATCCCTAACCCAAAATACAACACCGTAATTGTTCTCAAGTAGTGGTGCGCCCTATATGCTAGCCACAGAGCAAAGTTTTCTACAGGCACTTTCTTTTCTTATTCACAACAGCCCTAAAAAGAAGAGGATTTTATTCCCTCTGCTTAACAGATGTTAGGGACTAAATGCTTGGGCCCTCTTCCCCAATTCATTTGTTGAAACCCTACTCCCCAAAGTGATTGTATTTGGAGGTGAGGACTACGGGAGGTAGTTAGGTCATGAAGGTGGAGCCCTCATGAATGGGATATGTGCCCTGTTCAAAGGCACAAGAGAGCATCTCTCTCTGCACCATATGAAGACACAGCAGGAAGACAGCTGTCTGCAAACCAGGAGGTGACCTTTCACCAGGAACTGAATCAACGGGCACCTTGATCTTGGGCTCCCCAGGCTCTACAACTAGGAGAAATAAATGTCTGTTGTTTTAGCCACATGGTTTATGTTATATTTTTATGGCAGCCTGAGCTAAAACAACAGATAAAGAAAGTGAGATTCGGTGATGTTTGGAAAATGACCAAAGACCATGAAGCCTATAAATGGTGGAACAGGGGTTTACACCTGAGCTTTTCTGATCCAGAGTCTGTATTTCCAACTTCTCCTGTCAACCTAGTGCCAGTTCTAACATTTCCCAGCTGCCTTTCTTCAGGAACGCTACTCAGTGTTTCTGGGCCTTTGCTCCACTTTGCTGCAAACTTAAAATTACCATCACAGTGGCCTGGGGAAGGATCTACAGCCATGTGTAGGTGCTGTTGGAAAGCATTCTGGGGTCACTTAGCCATGTCTGCTATGGGCACAACAACAGAAGTGGAAACAGGTTTGTCACATCTACCACCCCTGCCTCATAATTCTGCTATTAATAACTGCCCTGCTCAGTTGAGCATCTACCATGTGTTAGACACTGTGTGATGTGCTTCAAGGTATCATTTCACTTATTTCTCTCAACAATTTGGAGACCCTGGCCTGGTAGCTCAGTTGGTTAGAGCATTGTCCTGATATGCCAAGGTTGCAGGTTCAATCCCTGGCCAGGGCACATAAACAATCAACCGGTGAATGCATAAGTAAGTGGAAGAACAAATCGATGGTTCTACCTGTCTCTGTTTCTCTAAAATCAATCAATAAACATTTTTTTAAAATCCCAATTTCGAAAGACACCAACACGTTCTCCATTTTACAAGTGAGGAAACTGAGCTCAGAGGTGTGATATAAATCAGGGACTCCACTTCAAACCTGTTTGACTCGGACTTCAGAGCTATTTTTAATGACTGTGGCCAATGCACCGGGGCAGCTCTGCCACCTTCTAGCCGTATGTCCTCGGGGATAATCTTAGCTCTTCTTTGGGCCCCTCCTTCCTTTCCATTTATTCTTACTAAAGGATGGCACAGGGGGTCAACTCTCCTGCGTCTCCAATAGGCTGAGACTGGCTGCCTGAAGGATTATTCTGAGGCCACATTCAGGCTGAAAAGGAATATGTACTGGGTTGATTAGCAATGTCTGCCACAGGCACCTGCAGTAAAGCAGTAGCGCACACTCCACAGAGCCGCATCCCGTCTCCTAACATCACCACTTTACTAATAACATGGCCATGTATTGAGTGCCTGTTATGTGCTGGATAGAATCCTTTATGTGAGAATTTCCTGGCAATTCGCCGAATGTTGACTGTTAGGGGGCTCTTTTCTCCATTTAACAGATGAGGAAATTGAGTGTCAATGAAGAGGTAGGATTTGTACGAGGTAGGGCAGTGGCCAAGTGGTAGGACCAAAAATTCAAATCCAAGGTTTGAACTCCAGAGCCCAGTTTCCTAATGAAAAAGCCAGTAATAGTAGAAATATTAATAGTAAAGTGAAGCCAAGCACCCACTCTACACCATGCCCTGGGCATCGCTACATATAAACCCACTGTGTTGGCTGAGTTTACTACTCATTCAACTCAACAAATATTTACTGGGTGTCAGCATGTGATAGCTGCTGGCCTCCCCCTCCTCACTGCGTGTCCTCTGACACTCACATTGACTCTCTGGACCTCTGTCCCTCCACTCAAGGAACAGAGGTCACCCAAATATGGAGGTGGATTCTGAATTCCGGTGCAGGCTCAGTGAGACAGGTGATAATGTCTGCAATGGGAGCGCCCCAAGCATTCCATAGTACATAGCCCTGTTTCAGGGCATAGCAGGTTCCAGCTTTGGAACCCCTATTCTGTGCCAGGCACTGAGTATGTGCAGAGATTTCACTGACTTCCCACAACCACACAGAAAGCTGGAGATACCTTCTCTATTTCTCAGATGGAGAAACTAAGGGACAGAGGAACCTGTGACTTGCCCAGGGTGATCCGGGTGAGGTGGTAGTGATGCAGTCAGGGTTTGACTAATGATTAGATGATCCCAAAGCCTACTGGGTTACCGGCTCCCCCAACTCTAAATTCTGCCCTCAACTTGGAGGGGGTTAAGAGTTGACTGGGGGTTTTCTATCTGGGATTCTGAGCTTCAGCCTATGAATCTCACCACCTCCCCATCTCCCTCCCATCTGTGCCAGGGCTTAGTGGGATCAGTGTCGCGTGCAGCTCCTCCATGGCTGAGCTGGCTAAGCCGCTAATGGGGATCAGATTTGTGGAGATCACACCCACCCTGCTCCAGTCCACAGCAAACGTATGGCCTGGGATGACACAGGGATCGCAGGGACTTTGAGAGCTGTCCCAGGCCAGGGGTGGAGGGGTGAAGTCAGAGGGGCAGAGGGCCTTGGATGGAAAGGCAGATGCCAAGTGGGAGTAATGGCGCCTTCCCTCCTACTCGCCAACTCCTCCTCTGGGGATCTCTTTCTCTTTCTGTTGCTCTCTCCCTTCCCCTCCATTTCTCTCTCCCCCTCTGTTCATCTCTCCTCTATGAACCACTCTTTATTTCCTCCTCTGTCTCTCTCAATCTTTCTCCAACTCTTTTGCACCACTGCACATACAGCTGGCATACACATTTTGCAGTAAACACACCTATGGTCGCTCACTTTGTCTGACCCCCTTGGGTCCCCAGCTATACCCCAGGGCCCCAGTCACAGTGACAGATGCCTGGATACCGGTGACAATAGGGCATTGAGCAACTATGCATGGTTAGGCTGACCACCACGTGGTGCTGAGCTTCTCACTTCTGGGCCCTTCTCCCTTCATGCAAGGCCCTCACTATCTCAATTTATCCCCTCACTTCCTCCCAGCCTGTCCCCATGGTGGATCTCCACCTGGGTGCCCTCTATTGGAATAATCAAGCCTCCAAGGCCTCCCTGTGACCTCTGACCACACCCTCTCCTCTTTGTGCATCACTTTCCCTTTTTCTGTTTTTTAAGATTTTAGGCAGAAGGGAAGGTGGGGAGAAAGAGAGGGAGAGAAGCATCAATGTGTGGTTGCCTCTCGTGCGCCCCCTACTGGCCCGCAACCCAGACTTGTGCCCTGACAGGGAATCCAACCGGCGACCCTGCCGGCACTCAACCCACTGAGCCACACCAGCCAGGGCCACTTTCCCTTTTTCAAATGGGGGAACAGATTAGAGGAACAGATGAAAGGGTTCTCAGGGTTCTCAAGAAGCCACACTCGCGTTCCTGGACCTGGGTGAGCAGTGTGAAGCCCAGAGAGGGGAAGGAGTTGGCTTGAGGTCACACAGCAGGAAAGTGTGGCCTCCTGGGCCTCATTCCTCAGAGCCAGGTGGGCGGGTCCCAGGGTCCAGGAGGGAGTGCTGAGCATCCCCCCACCCTCTGTGCTCTCCGAGACTCTAAAGAGGCCCAGAAAGAGACACAATGTACAGAGACATACACACAGAGAACCCGGAGACTGGAAGAGCAGAAGAAGGAGGCCCCGGGCGCCGGAACCAGACAAAGGACGCGCGGCGGCGCGGGGAGCAGAGTCGCTCGGCTGGGGTGGGGGAGGAGCCGGGGTGGGGCTAGAATTGGCCAGCCCCGCCCCCGGGAGACGCCTGTACTGCCTAGTGGAAATCCGAGGGCTCGCGCGAGGCCGGGCCCCCGGGGCCCTGGGGGAGGGGCCTAGATGGGCGGGGTGGGGCGTGGTCAAGTCGGGCGTGGCCGCGTGCTGGGGAGCTGACCAGCTCCGTGGCTGCTGAAAGCGAGGGGAGCGGGGCGAGAAGCGCGGGAGGGCAGGCGCGCTCAAGGTCACCCCGCGGCCCAGAGCCTTGGTGGGGTGGGGCTCCTGGACCTGGCTTAGGGGGCCTGACTTAGTCCCTTAACCCACCCCCCTGGAGGCGAGGGCCCAGCCGCTGGGAAGCCCCCGCGCCGTGGGCCCTCCCCTCCCCCTTCCCGCAGCCTTAGGCGCCCGCGCGATGCTACGGCCCGCGAAGAAGCGCCGAGAAACAAAGAGACGCGGCGGCGGCGGGCCCGCGGGGCCTCCGGGCGCGCCCCCTCCTCTCCCCTCCCCGCTTGCCGCAAGGTCGACTGGCTCGAGGACGAGACGCCCGGATCCCGGGCGCGGCCGAGGCCCGGGGCGCCCGATCCGACGCCACCCGCTTCCCGGGACTCTCAGGGGCGCCTTGCCGCCTTGTCCTGGCCCAGTACCAGTGACTGGGGCCCTGCGTTTGCCTGGGCGGCCTGCGGGGTCCGGGCCTGGATGGAGGAGATTTCCTCCGCCGCGGCGGCACCTCCCCCATTCAGACTGCTGGAGGGGGACAATCGTGCCCCCAGGGCATCGTTAGGATGCCCCCCCGAACCGCGGCTTAGCTCCATAAGGCCTTTCAGGCCAGACTCTGAGCGTCCTCAGCACTCTGGGCGCGGCCCTGTCCACTCTCAGGCCCCGAGGCTCGTTCCTACCCACCCCCCCAACCTGGGCCTAGCTAGGCCTGGTCCTACCCCCCCACCCTCCATCTCCGCGGAGCCTGTGCCTAACCCCTTCCCGACCAGATTCCCTCTCAGCGACAGGGGAATACCTACAGTGACCATTCTTGTGTGCCCGGCGGGCGCGGTCCGTGTTGAGGGCGGCTCTGGGGGTCGTGCACTCCTTGGGGGGCACTCGATGCTCACGCCGGGGTCCTACCCGGGCGGCCTCAGGCACGGCCGCTGCAAACGTGTCGGTGAAGGCGGCGGCTCCCTCGAGGGCCGGAGACGGGCCCGAGCCCGGGGGCGCGCGCGCGCGGATAACCGAGCCCCGGGTAGTCTGCGGGCGGCAGGGGATGAAAAGAGGGAGCGGGCGCGGGAGTGAGAACGCCCCCTGAGCGGCCCCGCGGGGCCCGGGGAGTTTGCGCTTCCCGACGGAGATCGCAGCCCTCTGCCTTTCGCCGCTGTCCCTCAGCCCGGCCTGTCCGGTTCCGGGTGCTCAGTCCTCTCCCCTCGCCCGCCCTCCCTCCCACCCTCCGGCCCGCGCTGCGCGCTCCGCGATCTGGGCCGCGCCGCCGCCGCCCCCAGCCCTTTATATCAGCAGCTGCCAGCGCCGCCGTCGCTCATTGGCTGCAGCAACTGAGCCCCACCTCCTCGCGGCGCCCGACGGCGCGGCAGGTGGAAGCGAGCGCGCGCTGGGCTGGACATGCTTCTTGGGGACTCGTGTCGCCAGATTCGGGACCTTTTGCCCCCGAGGACTCTGCTTCCTGCTCTGGCGTCCCTTTTCGGGAGGGCTTTCTAGCTGGAAGACAGGGCGGGCTCTTCTCGGATTGTACGACCTTCAGGAAGTGCAGTCTACCAAGAGGACTGGAAAGGGACAAGGATCTAAGACTTAAATGGGCAAGGGCCTGGGTCTCCAGATTTGGCCAAGAGGGGAAGGTGGGGATGGCTGGGGACCTAGCCTGACTGAAGAAGGAACTGGGACCCTGTGGGCTAGTTCTCTCTAGAGTCCAAAAGCTGGGTACTGGCACCCCACAGTTCAGGGGCACTCGGCACTCGGCACTGCTATAAAGGTAGTGAAAGAAGTTTGGGACTTAGGATTCCAGGCAAACCCCTTTGGTGCCCTGCAGCTCCGGGAAACCACCAGGCTTTCTCAGACACCTTAAACTGGGAGTGGGCCTATCTTCCATGTAAATATACTGGCTTCCCGGGCTCATGATTGGTCCGCCCGCGGAGGCTGCGACAGAAGACGGAGCACTGACCTTGGCGCACATTTACGTCGGGGCGGCCTTCGTGCGCCAAGGTTTTCTCACCAGGGAGGGACAACTTCGAGGCTTCAGCACCACAGACAGCGGCCTGACGGCCCCGTCGACGACGCTGTGGGCGCAATAGCCAGGATCCCCTAAACCTTAGAGTCGCAGTGCCCCACCCTCTCCTCGTCCCTGCGCGCCCTTTTAGGTTCCAGACTATCCGACAGCGCCATCAAACCCTGCGAGGAGAGCCTATTTTGACCAATCAGGGACGGCCCTCGCGAGAACGAATTGTGGGAGGACGCCCTCGAGATTGAGCCAATGAAAACCCGCGCTACAGAGAGCGATGACACGCTGAGAGAGAAGGCAGGCCAATCATAGTGGCCCGCACTGTCTGGGCGGTGTCCCTCTAGGGTTTGCCAGGGCAACGTGGCTGCCGACCCTGGGGACCTCGAGCAACGGCTTCTTCCCCACCCCGTGATGCTCCCGGCTCCGGTGGGATCAGAAGCTGTGCCTTTACGGGAGGGGGCCGCTCCTGGGCGCGCAGGCCCAATTGCGGTTCCCATGGAAACTGCCGGCTCCTGCTGTGCGGAGATAACCAAGGGGACTGAGTTTGGGGGGTAGAAAGGGAGGCTAGAGGGCGGAGAGGGGGGCGGCCCCAGCGGCCGGACTCGCTCATCCTCTCCAAAACTTCTGGCCCTGGCTGGGCTAGCTCTCCGTTCGAAGTGTAAAATGAGGCTTTAACTGCAGCTGGCTCCACGAGCTGGTGAGGAGCTGGCGGAGCCAATCTGCGCAGGGCTCCACGGGGCTCCCCAGGGCACGTGCCCGGGCTCGCGGCTGCGGTCCCTAGGGTCACGTGGTTGCGGCCATAACGGCCCGTGGGGCTTGCGCGCCACCTGGTGGCCGAAGAGCTCGGTCTCACTTCCCACCCCTCTGCCTGGCAATCCACAGTATAAGACGGCCTCAGCATCCTCCTCCGGGTAATGGGGCCAGAGCAGCCGCCCCGCCGACGTCAACTTCCCTCCGCGACGTTGCTTCGTGTTCCACGAACATGCCGAACCTATTCTACCTCAGGATTTTGGCACCGACTGCTTCTTCAGTCTGGGATTTGCCTCCCCCAGCTTTCTTGTAGGGGGCAGAACCTCTTTGTCATTCTGATGTATACTAAAATGCCACCTCACTGACCACTGACATAAAGCACTCCCAGAAACTAACACACTACTCCTTTATGCATGGTGCTTGTTAAAACCACAGATGTCTCACTTAAGTGTTAGCTGAACATCTCCCCAACTGGTACCTGATCTCTCTAGGGTGGGGAATGTGTGACCCAAGAGGAATTAGGACTGAGAGTCAAGATCAAGTCTTGGGAGATGCAGAGTGGCCTCCCTGGGCCTCCCAACCCCTGACCCTGTGAGAGGAGGGAGTGTTCAGGGTCGCCAGGCAACTGAAGCTGACAGGGTAGGGCCATGTCCTGCACTTCCCCTACTCCCCGCACCAGGCTTTGCTCAGGAAGGCGCCAGGTTGGAGAAAACGCGCCCCCCGCCCCCAATCATCCAGGCCCAGGGGAAGGGCATCTGCTTTCTTGCTCTTTAATCTCTCTCTGCTCTCTTGACACAGTTCCAACAGTGCAGCCCCAATCACCGGCTCCGGAGATGGGGTGGGGGACCAGCCCTAGGGCGGGGCAGGGGTGCCACCTTCCGGCCTGCGGACCAGGTGGCCCCTACGGCTGTCCCGGCGGGTAGGCCCGGGAGTGGCATTAGAATGGATGAATAAATAGGAGCAGTCTGTCATTGGGTGGGTCAGGCGGGCTTGTGGTCTGGGTGGCTTTTGAGAGTGTGGAACTTGACGCTGTCCAGCTTCTCGAAACGCTTCCCACAGCGCTCGCAGGTGAAGTTGTACTGCACCTCTGCCGTGTGCTTCTTCATGTGCCAGTTGAGGGACGCGCGCTGTCGGCACTGGTAGCCGCAGATTTCACACCTGCCAGGAGTCAGGGCGCAGTCAGAGCGGGCAGGGCCGGCCCCAGAAAGGGGCGGCGCCACTGGGACCAGAGCGCAGGTGGAACTGGGCATGGCAACCCCAGCGGTGGAGCCTGCTCTGTGCAGGTCCAGGCTTGAATCCCCTCCCTCCCCGTATCCTCGCGGGACACCTGTCACTCACTGCAGGGGGGTCTCGCCAGTGTGAGTGCGCCGGTGTACCTCCAGGTGGTTCTTCCTTTTGAAGGATTTGCCACAGGTCTCACAGGTGAATTCACGAACACCTGAGGGAAAAACAAGACTGAGGACACTGCCCTTGCAGAGGGGGCTGTGGAGTGTTTCTGTTCCTCTGTAGGGACCAAGTAGGGCGCAGATGGACCAACCGCTCACATCTCTGAGCTTGAATGTCAACTCTAATAACCGGGCAGGGCGGTTTGGGGGGAGGTAATAAGGGAGGCTCATGGCCACTGCCCAGGAACGCCCAGGGCAGAGGCAGAATGGGAGTTTGGGTCCCTGAGGGGCACATGGTGCATATGGGTCTGGATTTGACCCCAATATTTGGACTTTGGAGCCATTTCACATAAAAAATCCAAAGTTCTGGTCTCAAAAAATCCAAAGCTGTGCTCCCCTGCTGGGCACAGGCACCAGCACTGGCCACTGTGTCAGCAGCCGACACCCTGAGTCAAGGGGGTGCTCAGAGCAGAAGAAACACAGGACCTGTCCCAAACTTGCTCCCCCTCCCTGCCCATCTGGTTCACTGTCCTTCCTCAGCCCTGGAACTGCTCTGGCATAAGACCTGCTTGTAGGAGTGGGGAAGCCAACGGGCCCCAAGTCGGGTAAGAGACAGCCAGCCTCTGTTTAGTTCCACATGATTTATAATAGTGTCACTGTGACTTGCACAGCTCCAGCTTACTGAACAGCACGGAGGTGTCCGGTGGGCACCAGGTTAAGTGCTTTCCTTCCACCATTTTGCGCCAGTCCACGTGGAGGACAGGCAGGAAACCCTGAGAAGGGCCGTCCTGTGCCCAGGTTTGATCCCGCCGGCCCCTGCCCTAGCACCGAGGCCCAGGCCCCTGTGCCCCAGGGCCTGACCTGAGTGGATGATCATGTGTCGCCGTAGGTGGTTAGATAAATAGAACTTCTTGCCGCAGCCAGGATGAGGGCACACTTTGGTCTTCCCTTTCCGATGCACGAGGTTGACATGGTTCTAGGGGCGAGAGAGGCAGCAGTGGGGCTGTGGGTGCTGTGGGGACAGGTTAGGGCTGCTGGGAGGCAAGCTGGGGCCAACTTCACCGGAGAAGGGGAGAGAAGTGCTCTTGCCCAGGGGATGGACTGCCAGCTCTGAGCAGGGGCCTGGGGGCACGATGGAAATCAAACAGCTTTACTGAACATTTACTCCAGCCCGGGGGTGGGCTGGAGCATCAGCGAACCTCATCATAACCTGTGCAACGGTTAGCCCAGTTTATGGATGGGGAAACCGAGACTCCAGAAGCTCTGTGGTTTGGCTGGTGTCTCACAGGTGGGCAGTGGCAGGGCCGGGACTGGATTCCAGGGTTGTAAGCCACATAGCAGACTCTGTTGCCATGGTGCTACGCTGCCCCCAAGGCTTGGAGCAAGCAGCCCTGCCTTCCCCCACCCCCCAGCCATCCAGCCATTTATTCCTTTGTCCTTCAACTCACTAGCACATCCCTAGCTCCTATGCCCAGCACCAGGCCTGGCACTGGTAGGTGCTCCATACGTGCTTAATGAAAACATGATTTGGCAAATTCAAGGGCCTACTTGTGCTGCCTCCTGTGCCTAGAGTGGGGATATGACAAGACTCTGTTTCTGGCCTTGGGGTGTCCCATCCAGGCCCAGTGGGCAAACTGTAGGTACGTCTTGGTGCTGCAGTGACCTGACCCTGCCCTGGGGGACTGGGGTGGGCTTCCTGGTAGAGGGGCATCCTGAGCTAAGAGGGCAGAGGCGGTAGGAGTCTGGGCGGCTGGAAGAACAGAAGTGTGTGTGGAGCCACCAGGCCAGGACCAGCAGCCGCTCAGGGTGTGCAGAAAGAGCCTGCGGCTGGTTGAGGCTGGAAGCAGGAGGTAATGGGGGAGGCAGCCTGTGGCACCTGCTGGGGTCTGGTGGGGCTCTCCACGAGCCACACTGCCCAGACCCCAGTGCACAGGCAGCAGGACACAGAAGCAGACCCTGCCCAGCCACTTGGGTGGTAGCCTCACCTGGAAACTACTGAGAGCCACATACACCTGGCTGCAGCCCTCATAGGGACAGTGG